TGAATGTCTTTTCAGGGCTAACCCAGGTTGATCCTGGTGATTTATGCTTTTTGTTTCTTAACTCCAGCCCTTGTAAGAGTCCAAACAGCAAAGAGATGAGAAATCTTCATCAGCTATCTTTATTTCCCTTTACCTGCATTCTAACTGATAGGACAAAGCCTTTTGCACATACTTCTCCATAGATGGATGGAGCAACCAATAAAGCTTTTGTCCTATAATAGCCCACTTAATTTTGATAGCCCTCCTGGATGAGTGGGGAGAGCCACTCTTCCCATCTGAGTTCACAAGTTCAGAGCAGGCATTTTTACAATTATAAAACAAAATTATATATTTTACCTTGTAGCATGGAATACAGACATTACAAGTAAGATTAATGCATGCAGCAACTAACAAGCATTTTATAGAGTCTAAACACATTGTTACAAATCTTAACATCTTGAACAATATTAAAATATACTTGAGCTGTTCTGGTTTCCAGCTATGAAATTGTCAATGTTCAGCTGAAGTCTACAGACGTGGCAAGTGCTGGCACCTGGTTTACCAGTATCACAGATACTCCATGCATTTCCACGCTATCCCCTGCCACCTGTCTTCCCCATCCCTCTTCCCCTCTTAGAAAGATCTCTTGAAACAAGACATCCAGTCTTCCTTACTCCTGCGGGTAATTGAGTCAGTTCCCCCAGAGTTCATCAGAAGATGCTCTATTCCAACTATTTCTTAGTTCCCAAAAGGGGCAGAATCCTTGACTTAAGAAACTTGAACACCTGTATCCTTTCCCAACACTTCAGAATTGTGATGCTAGCCACTGTAATCCTATCCCTATATCCAGAAGACTGGTTTGTTGTCCTTGACCTCCAGGAAGCCTACTTTCATGTAGTTACCCACCTATCCCAAAAACATTTCCTATGCTTCAAATTAGGCTCAGAACACTACCAATACAGTCATTCCCTTCAGCTGTCCACAGCCCCAAGGGTCTTTACAAAGTTTCTCTCAGCAGTGGAAGCCCATCTGCATCAGTGGAGCATAGCAGTATTCCCTTACTTGAATGTTTGGCTCCTGAAGGGTTGATCATTTCTAGAGGTCCAGTTTGCAATCTCCAGGGCTCTAGCCCTGTTTCACTCTCTGGACCTTCACATCAATAGAAGTCCACACTGACCCCAATTTAAAGAATTGACTTGATTTGAGCCACTAGACTCCCTAACCGTCACAGCCTATCTTCCCAAAGAGAGATTCTCCCCTTTGTCCATTCTAATCTCAATAATACAACACAGCTCACAAACAACTTCAAGAACTTGCTATAACTCATTGGCCACATGTCAGCCTCTATGTCCATCGTGCCTCATGCAAGACTGCACCTCAGGTGCCTTCAGACATGGCTAAGGTCAGGGTACACCCCACACAGACAGTCTTTCCAAGCGCATCACAGTTCTGGACTCCAGTGGTGGAAGGACCCACTGAAGGTCTGCATGGGAACCCCATTCTCACATCCCTCACCCTCAAAGATCCTCACAACAGATACTTCTGAGATGGGAAGCTCACTTCCAAGGGGCCACAGTCCAGGGCAAGTGGTCTGTATAAGAGGTTATGTTCCACATCAACATTCTGGAGCTGACAGCAGTTAGTTACACTCGCCAATACTTCTTTCACCCCATACAGGGTCATTCCATCAGTGTAATGCTGGACAAAAGAGCAGCACTATATTATCAACTGATGGGGCAGAGCAAGATCCCAGTCCTTTTGCTTAGATTCATTAAGGCTGTAGAACCAGTGCATTTCCCATCAGATAGAGATCTTTGCTGTATATCTTCTAGGCCTCCAGAATACAGTTGCAGACTCCCTGAGCAGACATTTCCTTCAGGACCACAAATGGGAACTCAACGATTGTCTTCCACAGCATGTGACAGATTCAGGGCTTCCCAGAAGCAGACTTCTTTGCCACCCCAAACAACACAAAAAGCCACCTTTTCTGCTGCAAGGGAGGATACAGCTGCGACCCATTGGGAGATGCCCTCATAACGCTGTGGCCCCATCCCCTGTTGTATGCCTCTAATCTTCAAGCCCTTACTCAAACCATGTCAGGAAAGAGCAAGGCTCTCCTCAGCACAGCACCAAGACAAGTGTGGTACTTGAACCTCCTTCATCTCTGTGACAACACCTCTCTCTCTTCCAATCAAGAAGGATCTCCTGATGCAGAACTCAGGGACCCTGATCCATCCCAACTCCTCCTCCTTGAACCTGAGAGCATGGTTCCTGGATGGTTCTTGAGCATGGAGCTAACCTGTTCAGATGAGATCCAGTCAGTTCTCCTATTAAGCAGGAAATCTAGTACTCTCAAAACTTTTTCAGAAGTGGACATGCTTACACTTTTGGTGTTCCCCTTGGTTCTTCCTAAGCCTCAGAGGTTCTGCTTTCCAAATCCTGGACTACCTGTTGGATTTAAAGAAGCACAGTCTATCATTGAGCTTAATTGAGGTACATTTGGCTGCTGTAACAGCCATCCACTCATCTGTTGAAGGCTTCTCAGTCTTTGCCCACCCTACTACAGCTAGATCCCTCAAGGGCATATGCAATTTGTTTCCCCCTACAGAATCCAGCTCCCCAGTAGGACTTCAGATTGGTTCTCAGTGCACTGAGGAAACCTCCATTTTGAACCAATGGTGGCCTGTTCCCTCTCCACATCTCCAAGACTTCATTCCTCAAAGCCATCACTTCAGGCAGTGAATGGGAGAGCTCTGCTCTTATGGCTGACCCACTATTTACCACCTTTTATAAAGATAAGGTAACACTACATCCCCCTCCTCGCTTCCTCCTGAAGGTGTCTTTGGAATACCACATTAAGCAAGAGATACACCTGCCTGTGTTCTACCCAAAAACCTCATACCTCCAGAGGAACAGACCAGCTAACGTAGACTAAATGTCAGAAGGACCCTCGCCTTCTACCTTGACAGGATTAAGATCATCCTAAACTATGTATATCATTTGCAGAGGGGATGAAGGGTCAACCTGTTTCCACTCAGACTGTCAAAGTGGGTTTTGGGTTGCATCTTAACCTGCTAAGAATCTGCTAGGATGCAGCTAGTTCCTTCATAGAGTGACAGCATGTTCCACTGGAGCTCAGTCCACATCTGTACTCTGCTGAAGGACGTTCCTATAACAGGAATTTGTAGTACAGCAACTTGGCCTTCCATTCATACCTTAGCTAAGTATTACACTGTTTTACCTGCTTCCAGGGATTATACTGCCTTTGGTGACACAGTCCTCTGAAACATTTTGGACTTGCCTCTTCAGTACTAACTTCCTGGCTGAGTTACTGCTTGGGAGTCTCCTAAAGTGGAACATATATTCTTAAAGGAGGGAGCCATTACTTACTGTACAGTAATTGGAATCCTTAGAGATATTTTTTTCCTATGGGTGCTCCACCTCCTGTCCTCCTTTCTCTCAACTCTGAGACTCTGCTTCGCAGTCAAGAAGGAACTGAATGACAGTAGGTCCATGCCTCCTTATATGCCCTTGTTTGGAAGCCACAGGCACTGGTATGAGCAGGCATGAGCCTGCAGACACCACTTTGCATTCTCTGGTCAAGAGGCACTGGCACATGGTGGAGCACCCACAGGGACAAAATATCTTGAAGAAATCAAGTTACTGTACTTTCCTTATTTAAAGAAACCTCATTTTTCTTTAAGAATAGTCAGTAAGTCCTTTATTCCAACTGCCTTAGTCTGATAAATCTGATTGAAGCACTTGTTGTTTATATGAAAATTCCTCATCAGGAATTATTTTCTCCCTGCTGAATAAAATATACATCACTACTGTCCTTGTAAATACAGTGTGATGCACTTCTGTGCTATAATAATATTCTGTTCTAGTTTAAAGTGCAGTTCTGTTCTGAAAGTGACAATGTAAAACTGATACCTTCTTATTAAACAGGTCTACTCCCTTGTGTATTCAGTCATATCTGCTTACTTCAATGACAAGAATGTTTTAATTGCATACTGTTAACATTGTCTGTACCATGCTGAAAGAAAGAGAGAACCATCTGTGGCAGATGCATTCAAATACTACCGTGATGAGGTCCATATAAAAAAATTAGATAAAAATGTGAGCTAGACAGCTTACTACAAGGAAGATGAAGAGGGGAGAAGGGGGGAATAAGACCGCGTGTGATAAGATTGTGTGAAGTTAAAGATCATTTTACACTTTTTATTTTCATATATGTATGTTTATAATCATAATTCCTGTTAGTACTGCTGAGCCAATGCAGGCGTGGGAGAGGAGATAGAATCTCTCTTTTCTATCAGTTGAACTGTTTAAGGCCTGATCCACACTTAAAACTCAGGTTGAAAAATTTATGCCCCTGAGAGATGTCATTAAGCCTACCTATGTTCCAGTATAGACCCACTAATTCAATGAAAGGGTGACAGAAGAATTCTATCTGCTACCAAGAGGGGGGGATTAACTACAGTGACAGAAAAAACCCTTGTGTTGCTGTAGCAAGTGTCTGCACTACAGCAGTGCAGTGACATAGCTGTGCTGCAGTGGCATCTGTAGAGTAGACAAAGCCCTAAGATCTAAATCAGTTACACTTGTGGAATCCAGTTGGGGGTTAATAAGTGTCACTCCATTTTAATGCTAGGAAGTGTAGAAGTTGAAAATAAACTCCAGATGACACCTCACATTTTCTAGAGTATTGCAGTCAAATGAACAGCACTGTTTTCATTCTACTCATAACTAAGGCATCTTTTTCTTCAAAAAAGAGAATTCCCTAGATTTAGTTATAATTACAGTCTTCACTGAGCTCACTTAATTATGCTAGTCTTACCCCCAAAATATATAAAAAGGCTACTTTTGTGCTGTATCTTCTGTAAAGGTAGCAAGTTGAGTGCTGTATAACACGTATTAACATGTTTCTAAGAATTCTTAAATCTCGGATTAAATTCCTCATACATACAACGTATTGGTTTTATTTTGCAGTAGTGATGTTTTTTTTCTCCTCCCTACAGAACTATGTCAGAGTGGTGGAAGTTTGGTGGGATGAGTACAAAGATTACTTCTATGCCAGTCGTCCAGAGACAAAAGCACTACCATATGGGGATATATCCGAGCTGAAAAAGTTCCGTGAAGATCACAACTGCAAAAGTTTTAAATGGTTTATGGAAGAAATAGCCTATGATATAACCTCACACTATCCCTTACCATCTAAAAATGTGGACTGGGGAGAGGTATGTACAGTAAATGCATCTAAAATCAGCACATGCAATAGGTTTTTAAAGTTGGGAGTCCACAATGAAGCCACTGTAACTTCTTGTACCTGATAAATATTTTAATATTTAAACAGAAAACAAAGAATTATTTTGGTTACTGTTGTTTTTAAATGTGGAAAATGAGGGAATATGTATATTATTTTTTTTACATGTAAGGCATGCACCTCAATTTATGTTTAATATTATCTTGCCTGCGTGTGGGAGTTAAACCCAAGGAGGCTGTTAAGTGGCATGCAAACAAAACAAAACAATGGCAAAGATAAGGCTCCTTAAGTGAACAATGGGTGGAGCTATTAATTGGGGGAATGCTGCCCTGCTCCAATCTGGTTGGCATGTTTTACTCTTCTCAAGGCTAAAAGGCTAAGATCATAGAGGATCCTAAACCTTCAAGATGCTGTCCTGTAGAAGAAGGGGGGATGAGTGGGCTGTCAGCAGCCATAGTGAGTCTCTGGCAGACAGACATGCAGCAGGCAGGCTGGCTCTCCAGAGATGGTAATAAACTGAACCTACCCAAGCTATGAATAGGGAGAGTAATCTTAGGCAGACTAATAAGTGTATGCAACATTTAGTTGTTCTAACCCATTTTCTTAGATGCTGTGTTCCTTTTGGCAAATCATACTACACCTCTACCCCGATATAACGCTGTCCTCAGGAGCCAAAAAATCTTACCGCGTTATAGGCGAAACCGCGTTATATCGAACTTGCTTTGATCCACCGGAGTGCACAGCCCTGCCCCCCTGGAGCGTTGCTTTACCGCATTATATCCAAATTCGTGTTATATCAGGTCACGTTATATTGTGGTAGAGGTGTACTTTGTTTTGAATAAGCTACTTTTTGAGTCACTTTAACTAGCTGCTGGTCACAGGTCTCCAGTGATAATGTGCTTACGAGTGCTAAACCCACTTGAGTCTGTCAGGTTGACCCATTTGGTAAATAGGGAGGCTGCAGCCCAGAGCTCCAGTCTAAAAAGTGGCAGAACCATGTGGTTCCACCAAGAGGGGAGGAAGGTAGCAAAGCCTGTCTCACGGGGTGAATGTGAGAGGGAGTTAGTGTTCTAAGGCACAACTTACCCAGTAACCATGACACTAAATAGCAGGTCTGGATAACACTTGACAGACAGGTATGAAAATACTGTATTTATAGAGTAATGACAGGAGAGCAAATGCAACAGTACGTAACCAAGTCATGATGTTTTAACATGTGTTTTTTATTAGTTCTACATTTTTGTTGAGAATTCTTTTGTCTGTGTGTACTCTTCTTCATTGATGTTTATAATCCTGAGTCCTCCTTTCAGAGTAAGAATGTATTTTGAGAAGAAACTTGGAATCACGATATGGTGTTCAGTGCTTTTCACTATTTTTGAAGTGGGGGTCACTTTGGCAAAAAAACTTCAATGTGAGAGCCACGTGGGGTGGGGCCGAGGGGTTTGGAGTGTGAGAGATGGTCCAGGGTAGGGTGCGGGGGTGAGGGCTCTGGCTGGGGTTGAGGGCTCTAGGGTGGGCTCAGGGCTGGGGCAGAGGGTTGGGATGCGGGGGTGAGGGGTTCAGGGTGCAGGAGGAGGTTGGGATGCTGGGATGAGGGGTGCAGGAAGGGGCTCAGGGCTGGGGGCAGGGGGTGGGATGCGGGGCGGGGGTGAGGGCTCTGGCTGGGGGTGCAGGCTCTGGGGTGGGACCAGGGATGAGTTTTGGGTGCAGGCAGACTGCCCCGGGGCTGGGGCCAGAGGACTCCCTGCAGGCAAGCAGTACAGGAGCAATGGGGGAAGGGGCCCTCTCTCTCCCCCCTGCCAGCAGCAGGGAGCTCCGGGGCCAAGGCCCACAGCAGCCCTGCAAGTCCCAACTTGCTCCCCTCCCTGGTACCCACCCACCCCCTACCTCTCTCCTCTCTAGGTCCAGGCTGCGTGGCCCTTTAGAGCTGCTGCGGGGCTACTGATAGCCTGCTGTGTGACTGCGCAGTTTAGAGGGAACTTAGGGAACCACACTTAGGGTCGATGGGAGCTGCCACTGGCTCGCGGGCCTTGCAATGAAGAACATTGGTGTACGTAGAAAAGGCATATCTGGAGACAATTATTCAGAATAATCAAGATATTTGCATTTGAATGTGACTTCGAAGACTGTTAAAATTACTGGGACATCACAGATTCAGCATTCTCATTTAACTGCAAGAAAAACTACTTGGCAGGGTTTAAATTCAGCGCATGATTTACAGGAATTGAATGCTCTTTCATAGACAATCCTAGCTGGGTTTTTTACATACTCCTTTGTAGGATTCCCTGCTCAGCCAGGGAAATGCCTTGGCTTATGAAGATTGTTTTAGTCCCCCAGAAGCTCTTCCTGGTCTCCCCTATGAGTATACTGAACCCACTTCTGCAGAACCTGGAGGCAGAGATAGTGTTCTAACTGGCAGAATAAGAAGCCCTGTGTTCTATCCTACTTCTTAGTCAATTTGGCTAATCCATTAGATGTGCAAGGGAGTAGTTTAAAGAACTTCCTCTTCTAAAGGTATGACAGATCTACATATGTGAACTCAAGAGAGCAGTGGTGGAGTACAGAGTTGTCCAGTGCACAACAGGCATGTTGGGAATCTGTCACAGTCTATTATGAAGCCTTTGGAACTGGTTGTACAAAGTGCATGTGAAGATGGACAAACAGTCCTGCATCTGGGAGCCCAGAGAAACAAGACTATCTCCATCAAGGCAAATTTCTTGCCCAAGAGTTAATACAAAGCAGTAGGTTAGTTGATCAGCTTTAGAACTGTTCCAAAGTCCACCTAAGGTGGGGAAAATGTGCCAACATCTAGCTCCTGACTGAGCTGTGAGAATCACTATGGTAGTGTCTGGAAAGTAGAAGGCAGGGAGCATCCCTGAAAAAAGGAATTGAAGCCAGCAGCCCCTGGGACTTGGATGAAGTGACAGGGAAGCTTGAAGTAGTGTGGCATCAATCAGAGTGCTATGTCCTCAGGCTTCTCTGAAATGTGTTTGATCTCTCTTAATCGATGGCCAGCAGTCATTACACACTGTTTACAGGATTTTAATGCTCCTTTGTTGCACTTTTAATTATTGCCTCAATTGTATTTCTGGACGGCCAAAACGTTTTTGACTCTACTACTTGGATACAAAGTTCTTTCCAGTCCTATTTTTCTCATATTTAAAGGACTCCTTCACTAAGTGGATGGCTGCTTTTTATTGTAGCTTCTTGGGCTAGTGTTCATGTCAACCGTCCACTAATTTCCAGCTGTTAAAAAACCCTAACTTGCAGGTAGGTTCTCCCTCCTTGTTTGCTTCTTAAGCCTTGGCTACACTTACCCGGTAGTTCGGCGGCGAGCGATCGAACTTCTGGGTTCGACTTATCGCGTCTAGTCTGGACGCGATAAGTCGAACCTGGAAGTGCTCGCCGTCGACTGCAGTACTCCAGCTCAGCGAGAGGAGTACCGCGGAGTCGACGGGGGAGCCTGCCTGCCAAGTGTGGACCAAGGTAAGTTCGAACTAAGGTACTTCGAACTTCAGCTACGTTATTCACGTAGCTGAAGTTCTGTACCTTTTAGTTCGAATTAGGGGGTTAGTGTAGACCAAGCCTTAGTAGAGTCAGTAGAATAGAATGCTGGTGAACAACCATGTTACTGATGTAGTTAGTCATTGGCTGCGTGTGTGTTCTCTCTGCGTGCTGCATTGGCTCTGGCCAGATAGCCTGTACAGCAGGCTCCGATCGAACTGCTCAATAAGACCACAAGACTTGGTCTAGTAGCGAAGACACCTGGCCAGGTTTATTGTTGATGAAGCACGGTCCTAGCTCCCCGGACCAATGTCTAGTTACACTAGCACATGTATGCCTGTAACAATGGACCAGCTCAGTGAATGGCGGGATTCTCCATTCCCCCCCCCAGGCCAGTCAAAGACACTCCCTCTGAGACTCCTCTTTATACACCGATACAAACAAGTTACATATTGCCCCTGTGACATGTTTAGTTACCACCCTTTTTTACCTTGTACATGTTGGGCTTATCGATCAAAACATCTCTATTCATCACCCTGTCATCCTGACCTTATCTTTTAGAGGGGGTCAGTGTGTCCTTGTATCATCTTTGGGGAGTGTGTTTGTGTCATACTTGGTATCAGGGTGTTCTGATACCACCCTTCTGGAAGATGTTTACATGAGTGTCCTGTGCCTAGTACTTCTCAGGAATGTGTATATTTTTGCAATACCAGCCCTATTCTTGGCAGGGTCTGTGAACCTGCAAGCAGGCATGTTTTATAACAGGACCTGACTTCTGCTCACAGCCTGACTTTTGCTAACTTTGCTTTATATTAGCAAGGCTTGACCACTGCTTTAGTTCAGGCCTTTTATACAAGGGCTCATGACTCAGGCTCTCTCTTTCTACTACAACTGGGTTAATATTTAACTGGAAATTTCATTAATCACTGCTGTTCATGACTTGCAAAGATTGGTGATAAACTGTATCTGTTTGGGAAGACAGCTGTGATAAATACCCATAGATTCATAGAATTTAAGGCCAGAAGAGACCTTTAGATCACTGTAGGCTACTGGCCAGTCCCCTCAGCCCAGGAAGGAGTGACACCATATCCAGAATCTGGTTCAGATCCTCTTCTCAGGGCTTCAGTTTTATTTCTTCCACATAAAATTAGTGCAGCACATTGAACGTCCCTTCCCCCCCTAACCTGGGGTGTTCTGTAGGGGCTTATCTATTCACTACAGGTTTCCATTCTACAGGCCATTTGCCTGACAGCCATGCCCTGCTTCCTCCTACAGGAGTCAAACTACTTACTGGTAGCTCTAGCTCTCCTTCCTGTTACTGCCTTCAGGCTCTTGGCAACTCTGTTCCAGCTGAGTCACTTGCTGGCTTTTTATAATCACCTTATCCTTTGCTGATACGTTTCAGCTCAGCTACCTCCCAGCTCTCATATGTGAAACTAGGCCCAACTCCTATAAAAGGGATTTTTTTGGCCATTCATCCTGTGACAATTAACTAGTTGAACGATATGTATATGACAGGTCTTACAGTTCACCCAGTTACCCCTGCATTGAGCTCAATAACTTGTTTGACTAAAGCATAGTTTCCAGACAGGCATCCAGTCTTGATTTGAAGAGATCAAAAGAGACATTTTTTTTCCAGTGGTTAATCACCTTCACTGTTTTTGTTTATTTGTTATTTCCCATTTGTATATGTCTGACTTTAGCTGCCAATCAGTAATCATTTAGTACCCGGTATTTTCCCCCCCATGATGGTACTTATATACTGTATCAAATAAGCTCTCAGTTTTCTTTTTGATTGAGCTCTTTAAGTCTCTCCATGTGTAAGGCTTTTTCTCCATACCTCAAATCATTTTTGTGGTTCTTTTCGTAATCCTTTTTAAAATGTGGACACCAGAATTCTACGGTGTTGAAGCTTTATCATAGTAATTTTCTGACATTCAGGTCAAGCTCCATTTCATTTTAAGTCTGAACAAAACAATCCCCTATCTCATCCCTCACATCCTCTCCTAGGTGGGAAGCCCGATCAACCCTAATTACAAGCCCCTGCTGCACACCATTCAGGAATATCTAAAGAATTGAACATCCTTTCATGGGGGATTAACTGCATAAGAAACCAGGCCTACATCTGAAAGAGCCCCTGTTCTGTATGAATATGGTAAATTTGAAATCAAACTTCCATACAGTATATTCACTAGCATACTTATGTCTGTTATCTCACAGTAGCTCTCAAATTAGTATGGACAGTTGGATTCATAAAACTTTCTCCTGAAAATTTAACATCCTTATCTCATTTGATTCAAATTTCTTGCAGTCTTGCTTCAAATATCTGTGTATATTATTCGTTTGGAGAACGATGAGTAGGATATTCCTTAACTTCTGTACACTAGAGATCATATTTTCCCAAAGTCTAAACTAAAGTGGAAAAAGCCTTTTTCTCCTTCTCCCCCCAGATCAGAGGCTTTGAAACTGCTTACTGCATAGATAGCATGGGGCACACCAATGGTGGCTTTGTAGAACTTGGACCATGCCACAGAATGGGAGGTAATCAGGTAAGTAACCTTGAGGCGAGACGTTTGAAAGAGACAGTTGATGCAATGAATAATCATAAAGCTGTTTCTCTGATAAAGTCCCTAAAACTACTGTGGTTACCAAAAAGTAGATTAAATGCGGGGAGAAAGTTGTGGACTGTGCCGGCTTTTATGGGTGGGAATTTGGGATTTGTTTCCACTCAGGAAATATTCCCCTTACCCACTGTGGTGCCTTAGTTACTACTTCTCAGAATTGTGATATAGGTGTGCAATGCACTGATGCACTAAATGGCTTTCCACTACCAGAAACAAGGAATCAAACACAAATTCATTCATAAATGAAGCTGAGTTAAATTGGAAAAAGCTTAGTTCCTAACAGATAATTGTAATAAGACTATTGCACAATTTGGCCCAAGTCCTCACATTTTGCCATCTCACCACCACAAGGACAAACCTACTTCAGGCAGTCAGGTAGCTTTATCTTCTTGAATTTGATACTTAAAATTTTGAAAGTCTGTAAACTGAAAAATGGCTCAAAGCAAAATGGTAAAAAGAGATTAACAAAAAATTATCTTCTCTCTCTCTCGATATATAGATATACGACTTAATCCTATGCAGTCATACAGGATGATGTCCCTGTTAAAAAATCATGTTCAGTTGGCTCTTAATGTAAAAATGTCACTGTTGTAACTGTAGTTTAAAATATAATGCAGTACCCTGTGAAAATACATTTTCAGTATACAGTACTCTAGAAAGGCTATGAAAAAATCATTCTTTTTCAGTCCTAAAATCTTACCTTAATTAAATGCCAATCTAAGAAGTAGCAGAAATTAGGTTTGTATTTCAATTTGGTAGTTTTCCCTCTGGCCCAGTGCTCTGTAGTTCTTACATTTATTATTGTCTTCATTTGAAAATACTGGTGAGGACAAAAGTTCACTGGCTTCCAGCTCTTTGAAAGACTGTGATTATATAGCCATCAAACCGCAGATTGATGTATCCAGCTCTTCTCAGGAGCCTCTCCAATAAAATCTTTTGCATTTATCCCCTTTGTTCTTAACTTAATTTAGTAGTCGTATCTATTTAGTTTTCTGAGCTCAGAAAGAAGGTACTTCATATGGTAAGTCTCTGATAGTGAAAAGCTAACATATTGCATCACTTAAAATAAATCAGCCCTATTCAAGCAAAGGTAGGTGTGATGATACTTTCAAAAGAATATTCCAGATGATGTAAATTAATTGTTATAGTATTGCTTCTAAAATTTCAGTTACCGTATAAAGTTCACCCTTTGTGTTTACAGTAACAAAAATGTGCCTCAATATTTTTCTTTTAGCTTTTTCGAATAAATGAAGCTAATCAACTCATGCAGTATGACCAGTGTTTGACTAAAGGACCTGATGGATCAAAAGTTATGATTACGCACTGTAATTTAAATGAATACAAGGAATGGCAATACTTCAAGGTATGTGACAGTATATGTATGGTGCAAGGATAGGCGATTTGTTAAGACTTTTTTTACACCCCATTTTGTTAAGACTTTTTTTATTGTGCATACATCTGGAAGTAAAGCTGTAGGACCAGATTCACTGAACTTTGGTGTGGCAAAATGTAAATTTCACTTTTCTGTACCAGGCTCTCCTCTTGCTTTATGGGAGGAATTCACTCTGAGGGAAGGAAGATGGGTTTTGTTGGCACTACCCGCCCTCTCCCAGGATTTCCGCTGCAGAAAAGCAGCTTTAAATTCCACCAGGACAGCTGCTGCCAAGGAAGAGGGAGAAAAATTGTTCTCCTTAACCTCTGAGGCTAGGACAAGAAGCAATGGGCTTAAATTGCAGCAAGGGTGGTTTCAGTTAGACATTAGGAAAAACTTTCTGTCAGTGTGGTTAAATACTGGAATAAATTGCCTAGGGAGGTTGTGGAATCTTCATCATTGGAGATTTTAAGAGCAGATTAGACAAACACCTCTCAGGGATGATCTACTTAGTCCTGCCATGAGTACAGGGGACTGGATTAAATGACCTCTCAAGATCCCTTCCAGTCCTATGATTCTATGGGTATGTGCTGAATCAGCACATTCCCGCTGCCCCCTTTTTGGCACTGTGGTGGCTCGCACACCCCTAATGAAGGTTGCAACAGCTTTTGCTCACAGCAACCTTCCTGCTAATGCCCTTCCCACCAAGAGAGTCCTCCACAATGTCTGTATTGCCAGAATCTGGCAAAGATGCAAGGGTGAATTTAGCAGCTCGAATAATGTGATTTGATTACCTTGCATATCTAAACTGAAATAGTGCTCCATTTAAATTACATTTTTCAGCAGTACTGAGAGAGGAGAGGGGAAGTACAGCAATGCTAGTTCTATTTCTGCTAAATTTAATTATTTATATGTGTTGTCCTGTGTCTTGTTCAGAATTTAGTTTTGTTCTTTTGAGTTAGCTACCTATTCTCTGAGTAAATATTGTCTCGTATTTTCTAAATGATGCGTGTGGCCACTGTGTGATGCTGTTGTGAAAGATCTGAATTTTTAAATGAAGTATTGATTTATAGCTTGTAATAGCTATTAAGTAAATATGTATTTTGGTATAGGTACTAACTTTGAAAACATTTTTATCCTACTCCTCTATTATATTTAATGAGTCAGCTCATACTTTTGTTCCAGTAAAAAGAGATAAAGACAGAATACACTAATAAGGAAATTTGGCCTTTAAATACGTGCACATACACACACACACACACCTCAATTGTGTATTTGAGGGCATAATGTGGTCTAAAAGGGTTGAATGCCAGATTGCTATTACCCAGTTGTTTTCTGAATCATTACCATCTAGCTTGTTGTGCATTTATTAATTCACTCATTAGTCTGTTGGTATCTGGATTCTATTTGCCTGAAGCAGCTAGATTCTTTGTTAAGCATTATGTGGTGAAAGTCCATTTGCCTTCCACTGACATGCAAGTTTTTGTAATATTTGCATACAGCTGTGAAGTCCTGAATAACAAAAAGCTGTTTGTATGGAGCTAAAAAGCTGGGAAGAGACAGACAAGATCTTTAAATCCCAGGAATTTAGATAGAAATCAGTACACACTGTTTTGGTGTCTACTTTGTTCAGTAGTGTATATGTACAACTTGTTTGGTCTCCACCAATTCTAATGTGGCCCAGCATGTTACTTGCCACTTCATTACGTTTTGTTTTTACACGAGTTGAATCCCTTTCCACAGTAGCTGTGCCAATTGCGCAATTGTTTGCTTCAATGTTTCTGTTACTAGAAGTTGAGAGAGTGGCCCAGTAGGCACAGCACAGAATATAGACCAAAACATTTGGTTTATTTCCAAAGAAATATGATAAAAGACTATCAAAGGTGGGTAAGCAAACAAACACTGGAAACTTGGTGCACTTGTGAGCCAGATTTTCAGTGTTTAATTACTGCGCAACCCATTTTAAAAATATATTCTCACTGATGGGGATGGACTGGGGCAGGAAGATAACAGTTATAACCAGTACAAGAAATGTGATGCCCAGTGCAGACGTGAACAGCAACATTTGGGGGGGGGGGTCAGTGTCGGTCAAACAGTCGCAATATTTGTGCTACTCTAGTGAATCAGTTATGTGACTATAGGGATTCAGTAGTAGTGCTCCTATAGACCACTCAGGTATCCCAGAGAGAGAGTATAGCCAGATCTGGTCAGAATATTCCCTTTGTCTTTTGCTGACTTTTGTTGATTTGGGGGACAATGGCTATCTCATAACCCCAGTTCTCCCTGCTACCATTGGAAAAAGAAAATGTGGGAGAAGAGCTGAGGCAAATCATCACTTTCACCCCAAATATTTACATTGCTCTGATGTTGACATTATGGTTATAACCGTAGGTGAAGCGTAAACAGCCGGATTAGATGGCAATCCTAAGCAGGAAAGGTCTTGTTTTCAAGCATTTGTCTTTTAAAAAAAAATCTAGGATAGACAATTAAACATAGTTTAGAATCAGTTATGCAGAAATAGCCTGTTTCCTATGAGGAATAAGTGTGGGTTTTTAAAATGGACCAAGTACATCTATTTACCCTTTTATAATGTAACATTTCAAGATGTGAAAATATAGGCCTAATAAGTGATAACATTATTAATGTAGAAATGAGACTGTCACAGGGACACTGGGTAATTTTGTTTTTAAACAGCTACACATATTAGATGGGGAAGATTTTAAATCTATTTTTGATTGTTTTGTTTTCCAGAATCTACATCGATTTACCCATATTCCTTCAGGGAAGTGCTTAGATCGCTCAGAGGTCTTACACCAAGTCTTTATCACTGAATGTGACTCCAGTAAAGCAACACAAAAATGGGAAATGAACAACATTCTTAGTGTATAGACAAAACAAACAAAAACCTGACCTACTGAAACATTAATTTGTACAGGACTGAAAATAACCTGAAAACTGCTGCAACTATTAACTTTGTACAGCTGCAAGCTTGAAATCTCCCAACTTGGATGAAGGACATAGATGAACTGTGATATTACAATAACATTATCATCTGCAGTTAATGTTTACAAAACTGCTTTTACCTTAAACTTTGTAGATGTTTACATCTTTTTGTTTTAAGATGTTGGGGGTTTATGTGCTCTTAGCTATGTTTTATAGGAACAAAGTTAAAGGCACTGTGGTCTTCTTTGGGATTTCACTCAGGGGTCTGAAGGCAGTTTTTTTACACACACTTGAAAAGGTTGGAGTAACCAGACTTTCATATAATGTGGTGATTATCAACCTGTTGTATCTTTTTATTTTATTTTACATCCTACCAAGCACTGCCACGGGTTATTAGCCAGAGTGGCCTTCTTTCACAGTCATGCTGCTTTTTTGGAAAGGTAGATTTCAACATTAGTGCCTCTTTCATTTCTCTATATATTTTACAAGAAAAACATTTGATGGAATGTATAGTATGGATATGTTGATACGTCATATTGATAAGAATTAATTGTACCACCCACGTAATTACCGAAGACAAGTTTGTGTTGCCAATGTGACTTCTGTATTTACTACGTATTGGTAAGGCAAATAAAGGTACAGACCACACCAGAAATGCTGTAGGGGGTCCCAAAAATATTGCAAAATGTCCCTTTTGCAGCTAGGTGCTGTAAATTCATTGGAACTTTAAGTGAGCTGAACCAGGTATGCTGAGTAGCACTTGGATGCAGCTGGTGTATTAGGCTTTTTCTAACTAGCACTTCCGTTGGTCCGGTGAGTGAAAAAAATCCCACCCCGGCTGACATAAATTTCACCAACAAAAGCGCCAGTGTAGACAGCACTGTCAGTGGGAGAACTGACATAGTTACAACCGCTCGTTGGGGATGTTTTAATTATGCCAGTGAGAGAGCGGCTACACAGGAGACCTTACAGTGGCACAACTACAGTGGTACAGTGCTGCTGTAAGATCCGTAGTGTAGACATAGTCTTAGACAGCATTAAAGCAATTAAACATTTATTTTCTTTTCAATATTAAAAAAAGCCAAAAGAAACTGAACCTGAAAGCATTGTGATACATCTGATGAAGAGAGTGCTCTGAATTACAGCTAAGAACTTACAAACACTAACATCTTTGTTGTATCATGCTGTACAAACCTCTGATATATTTTAAAGCTAAAGCTGCACAATGTATAAAATTAAGAATGGTCCAGTACTTTGTGACATTGTTAATATAAATTGAATTCACCTGGAGGTGAACTAAAACTTTAAGTAAAAAAAAAAAAAATTAATTAACATACAGGGGTAGACTTTAAAGGGGCACTGTCAACTAGTTTTAGATCCAGATTCTGAGACTATTAAGAGTTGATGACATCACGAATGCCTTGACTTAATAGGAGTTGAGCCCTTTGCACCTCACAAGATCAGACCCTGAAAGTATTTGTTTTAGTACGAAATTCTGCCCTCAAATGCAGATTAGCATTGCATGTAATGTCCATTGAAGTTAGTAAGGGTTATGTGTCATATCTAAAGGCAGAATTTGACCTTTATAAAGCTATCTATCTATGCATATTTTGGCAATGATTTGGGATCTCCTCTGGCTTCTTTAAACTTCTCAGCTGTCCTTTAAAAGGTGTGAAAAATAAAATTAGAAAATAAAGGAGGGAGAATAAGAGTATAGGTAATTTTATTATTTGTGTGTATGAAAACTGACTCCATTTTTGTGCTGGGTAGATTAATCATGTTACTATGCATTAGTGAAAGAAAGGTGGCATATAAATTTTCCAGGTGTATATTTTAAGTGGGTATTTTGTGCAATTCATTAAAAGATACTGTATGTGCATATGAATCTGTATCTGAAACTGCAAACTACAAAACATGAGAACATCAGAAGCTGTTGCTGTAATGACTTTTCCTATTGTAGCCTGCTTGGGGGGAAAAAATGTCCCATATCTTGCTTTGTAAACTGATGATAATATCACTATGCATTTCTACACATTTTATAAATTTGATTTATGCAGATTTTGATACACTGTATGTTTCTGTAGAAATTGTATAAATCTTCAAAAGTTTTATTAGGGATAAATTTGGGGAGCCAATGTGCATCTTAATGCTGGATTGTGTGTTTTCTAGGTGAGGAAAATAAAAAATATTTTAACTTGTGGGTTTGTTTTATCCTCCAAAGCACTTGCAACCCCTCCCAGCTTGATATCGTCCGCAAACTTTATAAGTGTACTCTCTATGCCATTATCTAAATCATTGATGAAGATATTGAACAGAACGGCTATGATAAGCAGGGCATTCAACCTGAGCCAGGCCAAATCCCAGACTCGCACCCTAGTCACTGGCCCCTTCCATCCACTGCCTTAGCCCAGTCAGCTATGCTATCACTTGAATTTCTGAACTACGTCAAACGTTGTTGCCCAGAATTAAACAGTAGTATGTATATACTTACACCAGCTGATGTTAGCAACATTACATTACCAAGATAGTTCTTTTTTTAATAAGCTCACCACCTTCTGTTTGTGTAGGAATATAGCTATTGGACTTTAAGGGGAGGAGGGTGCAGGATTTAGTCCTAAACTTGCCACATCACAATACTAAAGCTTCAGTATTTTTTTCCTCAAAGTACAGTAACTCCTTGCTTAATGTTATAGTTATGTTCCTGAAAAATGTGACTTTAAGCAAAATCATGTTAAGTGAATCCAATTGCCCCATTAAAAATTAATGTAAATGAGGGGGGGGGCTAGGTTCCAGGGAAATTTTTTTCACCAGACAAAAGACTAGTGTGTGTGTGTGTGTGTGTGTGTGTGTGTATATGTTATGTATATGTGTATACACACAGTATAAGTTTTAAACAAACAGTACTGGTACACAGCGATGATGATTGTGAGGCTTGGTTGAGGAGGTGAAGTCAGAGGGTGGGATATTTCCCAGGGAATGCCTTAGTGCTGAATGATGAACTAGCAGTTGGCTGATCCTTCAAGGGTTAACTTGTTGTTAATGTAGCCTCACACTCTACAAGGCAGCACGAATGGAGGGAGGGGAGAGCATGGCAGACAGAGACACACACTATGTGTGAGAGATGCGCATTGCCCCTTCAAGTACGCTGACCCCACTCTAAGTACACTGCCTTGTTAAGTAGATCAGCAAGCTGAGATGGCAGCTGCTGCCAGGAAGCTCCCTCCATCCTGAACCCTGTCATGTGTCCCCCCTGCTCTATGGAAGATGGGGTAAGCAGGGTGCAGGGGTGAGGGGGACAGCCTGACATTAGCCTCCCTTTTAGGGTGACCAGATGTCCCGATTTTATAGGGACAGTCCTGATTTTTGGGTCTTTTTCTTATATAGGCTCCTATCACCCCCCACCCCCTGTCCCGATTTTTCACATTTACTGTCTGGTCACCCTACTCCCTTTCCACTCCCCACACACACAGCAAGCAGGAGGCTCCGGGGAGCAGCTCTAAGGCAGAGGGCAGGGGCAGCACATGGCAGTGGGGGGGAGGGACAGCTGAACTGCCAGCAATTGGTAGCCTGCTGGGCTGCTGCTGCACAGGGAACTTAGGGGAGCAGAGAGCTGATGGGGGGGCTGCCGGTCCACCCTAGTTCCAAGCCCCCACCAGCTGGCTGCTCTTCCTGCAAGCAGTGGACAAAGCAGGTGGCTGCCAAATGATGTTCTAAGGGAGCATTGCGGAACTTTAAACAAGCATGTTCCCTAATTGATCAGAAACGTAACAACAAAACAATGTTAATCGGGATGACTTTAAGTGAGGCATTACTGTATGTACTTGGTGAGAATGCTGCTATAGTGCTCAGTCGTGGTGTTACCTACACATCTTTTCCAGTAGCTAACGGTATGCCTCCATGTAAAATGGTTACTGTTATGACAACTAATTCCCTCACTGGGCTGAGATTATTCCACATATAACATATTACCCATCATTTCCATTTTTGGGCAGTAATGTCACCAAGGTTGAGGTGCTTGTACAAACTTAGCACTTTACAAGCTGTCAAATGGGGGGGGGAGGCGCACAGAGTAAAAAGAATTTGCCCCAATTTAGGGGGAAAGGGTGATTTTACCCTCCTCCCCCCCCCAAAAAAAGTCTACTAATTTCAGACTGTAGCTACAGTAAATGTCTTTTA